TTAATTCATTAAAAACTGAAAACAGCCTAAATATGTAGGAAGAATGAAATGGTTAAATAAATCATAGCTTATCTGTTTGTGGAATGTTATGTCACCTTTCTAAGAATGAAAGAGTCTAATGACAAAGAGAAGTTTAAAACTATTACATATATAGATTTAAAAAAACACCAAAAATTTGACAATGTATTTAGTAGAAAGAAGTTGTGGTATATATACACAATGGAATACTATCCTACCATAAGAAAAGAAGAAATAGTGCCATTTATAGTGCCATTTGTGACAACATGGATAGACGTTGAGATTATAATGCTAAGCGAAATAAGTCAGGGAGAAAAAGCAGAGAACCATATGATTTCACTGATATGTGGTATATAAAAATGAAAACAACAAAAGAACAAGAAAAACAAATGAAGAAACAAAACTCACAGACACAGACAATATATAAAACAGTTAACAGTGATGATCAGTGGTTACACAAGGGCACTTCTGAAATGCTCTTCGTCTTTATTATGCTTTTCTATATTTCCAATTTGTATATGTTAAAGAATAGTAGTATGAATTGCTCTGATAATTAGACAAAATTATAAAAGCCTACATAGGAAAAAAACAAAAGAAAATATCTATATTTGCACTGTATAAAGGTGATTGATTAAGGGTTGTGCACTTGTTTTTTCTAGGTTTCACATCCTGGACTGTAGTTATATTAAATTAATAATTTCAAAAACTATAAATTTGAATGAGGTGATCCATTTAATTCCTTATTTACTTTCTGGTAAGACATGACACTAATAACAACACTTTACCTTTATGTAAGGATTTATAGGTTGCAAAGTATTATTCCATTTGATTCTCACAGCACCAATGTGAAGTAGAAATTATGTTACAATTGCAGACATTGAGCCTTAGAGGTGAAGTGAGGTCTGCCAAGTGAAGAACCAGTGTGGGACCCAGTGATTGCATTTCCAAATGCAATAGTCTCTCAGCTCCCATGAAATCTTTCGGGCAATTCTCATCAGGAAAGATAAAGCACTATGCCATCGTAAACATGACACAAATGCTGTAAGCAGCTAAGACATTTACTGGAACAGAGTGACTTTGATTTGCTTTATACCTACTCTTTGCACTATCCTCACACAATAAATGTTTTAGAAGTTAGGATTTGATGTTTCAGTTAGTGCTTTTCCAACACAGCTCCAAACACTCGATTTTCCCAACTAATTAAGCAGTGATGTAGACTTTGCATGAAGTACTTTTTAATTAGCCACAGTGATTCTCAAATTATTCAGCCTGGGTTCAGGACCCTTAATAGTCAAACTGACAATCTCGTGCACCTGAACTCTTTATTTGAACAGTGACATCTGAGATTAAGCTCAATAATGGTTTCTATGGAAACTAACTGCCATATCAAAACTTTCCAAAGCACCCATAGTGACCCAATTAGAAGAGATAAAAATGGGTGACAGAAACAGTAGCTATCCATTGTATGGAAAGGTTAATTCTACTTGATCACATTAATTTTCATAAATGTGTCCACATATTCATTTGAAGACTATAAAATTTATTTATATTCAAGGATCTCAGCTACATAAGAGTGATACATAAAGTGAAAGTTTATATTGTTCTTTGACAACATGGAAGCCAATTTCACAGAAATACAGAGACCAGCCTTGAAGAGCAAGGTGAGTTTACGTGAATGTATGTACATACACATCAATAGCACAGACAAACTGCTGAAGAGAAAATGCTAGGATTTCTGTGGCAGAAAGCATCAATACATTTCATGAATTAGTTCCAAATAGAAAAGTCAAAGAAGCTTTCTGCCTTGCTTAGAACTATTGTTAAGAACCAAGAGACGTATTTGCTGAAACTTGACTCCACAATGAAATGCAAACAAATGTGTTTATTCAGGGTTGTAATCACATCAGAAGCTTTTAAAAGCAGCTTTGAGAGTCAAGCACAGTATAGGAACAATTTATAAATTTGAACATTGGTATTTCTTGCTGTGGATGTTAACCAAGTTCAGACTTTAACCTTGACATCTGCGTGCCCTGTGACATGCAATGTTATTATACATGGCCACCGAGTTCCACTTTTGTTTGAGAACTCAGGTCACTGGAAATTCTTACATGAAGACATTCCAGCAGGCTTAGTAAGCAGTCTTCTGAGTTTTTCTAATGAACTACAATGACAGAGTGACATGTAGTGGCAGCACTCATAGGCATCTCAAACTTGACTTGTCTGAAATCTACCTCTTGTTCCTTTCCCAACCTGCTTTTTCTGGAGTCTTCCCCATCTCAGGAATTGGTGACACCGTCTTTCCAGTTGTTCAGACCAAAGCCATTCTTGATGATTCTGCCAGCAAATCCCCTCATGCTCAAAATAATATATTTGGAATTCAACCACTTCTCTCCAACGGGGTTGCGATTAGCATTGCCCCGCCTACCACACTCTCACCTGTTTTATTACAGTGGCCTTCTCACCTCTCTGCTTCCTTCTGTCAAAGCTTAAAAACTGTATCAAGAGTGATTCTGTTCAGAAAAAGTAAGGCAATCATGTCTCTACTATACATGAACTTCCAAGTGGTTTCCACCTCACTCAGAACAAAGCCAAGCTCCTCACGAAGGTGTCAAGTCCTGCATGATGTGCTCTCCTGGGTTCCTCTCTGACTTACCTCCTACTCTTCTAGCACCCACTGCTCCAGCCATCCCGGGTTCCTTACTGTTCTTCCACTAAGCCAGGCAGGCTGGTGGTTCTTTTTATTTTAGCTATTCCCTCTGCTTTGAATGCCCTCACCCAATATTTGCAAGGCTCACTTTCTCATAGCTTCCAATCTTTAACGAAATGTCACCTTCTCAGTGAGGCTTTCTCTGACCTTTCTCTTTTAAAGTGCAATCCCTCTATCCCATCATTCCCTGTCCCCATTCTTGACTGTCTCTGATGCTCTTAGGACTAATAAGAGTATATTTTGCTTAATTTATCTTTGTTTATTGTTTATTTCCCTGCACTAGAATGTAAGGTTATTGATGACAGGTCATTTCCTCCTCTGTTTTCTACTGTTATTTCCATCTCCTAAAATAAATCCTTGCACATAGTAGGTGGTCAGTAAATTTTGTTGAACGTTGAATGAATAAAATATATGTCGTTTCCAAAATAATTGTCCTTAACTTTTATTGTAAAAACAGTAAAACTCACTGACTCCCTACACTAAAAGAATATAAATTAACTGATTAATTTGCTAATAAACATTGCTGAGATTCCAGACATCCATGCTGTACAGAGCTCTATGAGGGTTGCGAGAGCTCTCTATCTTCCAACATGTTACATTTTAAGAAAGAAACAAAACTCATTAGGAAACAATTAGAGAACAGTTAAAGGTAATATATTACTAAATGCTAAGTCCAAAAGTAGCCAAGCACTGTGGTGTTTAGGTGATGCATGTTCTAACTCCACTGCTGCCATAGGACCCAAGGAAACCATTGCCATTCCACTCTCAATCTCTTCATTTTGCAAACGAGGCAAAATCACTAGGCTCATTAGAGTTTTTAATTTTTGTTGGTCTCTTATTTGAGAGAAAGAAATCATTGAGATTCATAGGTGACAGAGATGCGTAGCTGTTTGGCACCTCCCCCCCCATAACCCCTGCTCCTCCCCTCACCTCCTCCCCTCCCACCCCTCCCACCCTCCATTCCCACGGGAGGTTCTCAGCCTCCCAAGAAGCCACACTGAGGAAGCTCTAACAACCTTGATTAATTGAAAATAGATCCACACCAGACAACTTCAACTCTGCTGAACCTTACAAAGTCAGACATATATCACTGCATTTAAATATACTGGTATTTTAAATAATTTTCTAACATCAAAGTGTGACTATTATTAAAACTAAAAATATTTATGTAACTAGCCATCTCCTTACCTTGTCTTATAAAAACTCACTGTCTTTGGCTTTTATTTATCTATATCATCTGCATGACGTGGTTGATTTGTTCAAAGAGACCATACATTTCTCCAGGTTGAGAGTCATGGGTTATATACTTCTCTATCCCCACCCCCCCCTTTTTTTTTTGCTGTAATACAGTTTTATACATGCGTGTTATATGAATAAATAGGTCCTCGACTTATCTAAATAATATCTGCTCAGCCTAGTTACCCGAACTACAAGTCATGCTACACAACTGTGCTACAACATACATTTAGTCATGGAGGCAATGTTTAATGCCAGCCCATCATGCATGGACAGTGGGCTTTGAATGGCACTAAAGTAGACCAGATATGATCCATCTTTGCAGCATGGACAATATTGAGAAAGGACAGGGGACAGCAATGTCTCTATGCAGTAATGAGAATACTCATAAAAGTTAGCATGTTAAGAAGCCTGGATTACAGTAGTTTCTGGCGGAAGATGTCCTGTGGAGCTCACCAAGCCCCTGAAAGATCTGGAACAATATGCTAGTAAGCAACACCTGGGAAGAACCTGATCACTGAGAACCGTCATTCCTGTTTACAGATGACAGTGCAGAGTGTCCTGCCACCTATGCCCACACACACCCATGTTGATGGTGTGGCCCTGGGTGACATTATTCCATCTCCTTGTGACTGGTATATTGAAGCAAGTCATAAAGAAGAAAAAGGTATCACACCAGCGTTGCTTACTTATATCTGTGGCTAACCTCTTGGAGCACACCTGCAATGAAATCTCTTCCCTTTGGCTTGAATACTATTGTAGATACCTGAATTCTCAGTTTGCTTTTCCTTTACTGATGCTCTGATATCTTCTGACCACTTGCTCTACCAAAGACCAAAGCAGTCTTTCCAGAATAAAGAAACATGAATGCCTGGGGCAATACCCACTCCCCACTCAGGCTAGTTATTTTATACATAAAGATGACCGTTTAGTCTCTGCATCTCCAGCCTTCACACCTTCTACTCTCATGTAGCAAGCTGCAGTGGGGCTGGGGGAGGTGACCAAACCTCTGAGTTGTGACTTTGTGAACACCAGTTACCTGTGCAGATTCTCTTAAAGTTGGGATTTTCCAGAAGGTGTCCCGGTAGGCGACACTGGAACCGATGTTGCCAAAACTCAGGGAACCAGGGATTCCTCGTATTAGTGTCCAGCCTTAGCTTCAGGAAATAATCATCAAAGGACCTGACCTCTGGAGACTGCAGCTTTATCGTGATTCCCCCGTTGGCTTCCACCTCATAACCTTCAATGACTTCATCTCTGTCTGCCCATCCATCACTAAAAAACATCAGGGTCCGGGGTGGGGAGAGAGAAAGACAAACATCTCACAAATAGAGCTCAGAGTTAGGCATGAATGAAGCAATTCAGCAAGGCTAAAGTCTATTTTCAGCCAGCACTGCTCCTCATCAATGACTTTTTTTTTTCTGGTGGCGAGTAGAAAGTTGTGAAATCATAATATCTTGTGTATTTGTTTTTTACAGTAATGAAAGTGATGATGAAGACAATGGTAGTAACAATTACAAGAACGAATGTTTATGGAGCATTTACTAGTCATCAGATTCTACACTACTCACTTTGACCGAGTCAGAAGATTTTCTGAAATCTTGTGGGAGCCGGGATATGGACCAGGCAGCCTGGCCCTCAAGCCCCAAGGCTCTTTACAACTAGACCACAAAGTTCATCAGTTCCCATCCAAACCAGGGGGAAAAGAGACTCAGGCACTAAGGGCTTTCCTTCCCAATCAGAGCTCTGCAAGCTTTCAGGGTTGTAATCAAGACCATTATATAAGCTGCATTACATGGGGGAGAGCACTGATTTAGCTCAGAAACATGAGAACCACAGATTTGGCTCCTGGACATTGTTCAAATTTGCATTGCTTAGAAGCGACCAGATGCTTTCTCCTGTCTTCTAATGTTATTTCAAAATAACAGCATTAAAAGAAAACAATACCATGCCCCCCAATAATCTTCTTGCTCACTGAATGGGAATTCACTAATATTTTATTCAGGGGGTTTGAATTATTTTAATTTGGTCACCTTCTAGCACATTCACATCTGCCACGAGTGATGTAGCTCCAATTTAATTCAAGCATATATACGTATACGCCAGCTAGGCCAAGCCTCATGTGAGTGGCTGTGATCCCTTCCCAAGAGGGTGTCAAAGAAAAATTGCACCGGATAGTTAGTGACACAGGCAAAAAAAAGACTTTATTCAAGACTATTTCAATAGGTCAGACACAGAACTCAATCCTGTGAAACAAAAAGTGGGAGGAATCTTAAATGCTGGGGTGAGCTAATGAGAACATGCTAGGGGACACTGAGGGTATTTGATTAACGTGATGAAGCCATCTGCACTTGCTAATTGTCACTTATCTAAGTTAGGTTCCCAAGTTCCCACAGAAACTGGGGGATGACAGTTTGCTATCACTCTTGATTACATTTCATAGAAATGGCTCCCAGGTCCCTGAGAAAGAAATTTCTCTGTTATAAAACTTGGAAAAGGCTGGGAGCAAATTTATATCTCAAAGGGACAGAGAAAGAATTTATAATGGTATGTTTTTGAAAGTAAAGGCTCTAAGAAAAGAGAAATCCTTCCTTCCATCCTTCCTTCCTTCAGCATTTATCTAGGACACACCACATGTCAGATGCTTTACTATGCTCAGGGTTCAACTAAGAATGAGGCACACTTTCCTTTACTCTTACAATGTGACAGACGTGTGGGGAAAACAGACACTAAACAAGAATTACAGATGCTCTGAAGGTAAATAAGGGACCAGTACTATAATTAGGCAGGGCTTGGGGGTTAATTTAGTCTGGTGTGTATGTACATATGTGAGTATGAGTGGGGCAGGGGTGATCAGAAATGGCTTTCCTAAGAAAGTGGTGTCTGATTTTAGACCCAGAGGTTAATTCAGGTGAAGAGTGGGGAGGGATTGGTGTAGAAGGTTCCTGGTAGATTATCTAACATAGGAAAAAGCATGGCTCATTCAAGAAATTTAGAGAAGGTTCCTGGTAGGTTATCTAACATACAGGAAAGAGCACGGCTCATTCAAGGGCTTTAAAGTCAGTAGGTCTGGTGCATTGAGAGAACGGTGGCAGGAGAAGAGGGTGGGGGCATAAATCCTAGCCTAGGAACTGTTATCCTAAGGACGACAGGAAGTCCTCAAAGTGCTGGAAGTCTGTTATAATAAGGCCACTCAGCTCTGCTCCCTGGTGATAAATGACTTGAGTATTTTTCTGGCAAGTCCTTCTCTACTCATCATCACCGACATAATAACCAGTCAAATTGATTAAAGAAAAGAAAAGAATGGACTCATTTATCTTTCAATATTCTCAGTCTACTGAAAAAAAGTTCAAACTAGTTTAACTCTTTCAATTTATTCATGTTTATATCATTGCAATTTGAAGACCTGAGCTATATAATTCATGTCATGCTGGAAAAAAAAAGGGTGGAAATAAAACCAGTTAGGTTCATAAGAAATTTTGCCTGTGAGTATAAAACTTTAGGCCTGGACTGTGTTTTTCTCCAGGGTTTAATATTACATGGTGTGTGTGTGTGTGTGTGTGTGTGTGTGTGTGTGTGTGTGTCTGAAGAAAAAACCCACAATTTTTAAAAAATGCATGAAATGAGTCTTATAAAGCATTTATTTGCTTTTTTTTTAAACACACTCTCAGTTTATAAAAGCAAGTATCTTATGTCAGGACTAGAAGCAGAGAAAGGGTAACCTCTTGTCTTTTTTTCCCAACAACACAAAGAAGCTCATCATAAGCCTAAATCTCCATCTAAGGCTACAGACAATTTGAAGTCAGAATTATAGTGGGGTGGAGCCCTAAAGCCCCTTTTTGGTTGGTCAAATACCCTCCCCCTCCCTGTAGATAAGCCCCTTCCAGAAATTAGAGTCCGCATTAAATCCAAGAGTCAAAAAATCAAGGAGAACCAGTTGTGCTAGAGAAAATGTTCAACTGGAATTCCTTGGCGAATATTAGTATCCTTTGAAGTGTTAATGGCTAAAGTTTGTTTAAGATCTTAAATCTATCACAGGTAAGGTGTTAGGAAAGGTTAACAAATAAAAAGTGGCTAAAAAACACGCACAAAGCAAGTTGTGGTTTTCATATATTTAAATTATTTTTGTCTATGTACCAGTTGTCTTATGTATTTACAGGGAATTTTAAAGGATTTTCACCGTTTAGTTGTACTGGCATTTTTTAACGAAGATATCGCTTTGTTGAATTCCCTGGAAAACACACTTGAAAACAGGGAGTCAGGAGCTTGACTGATAACTGGTGTAAGTTTTTCCTTTTGTCGTTGATGGTGACAGTGGTGTAGATTGTGATGACTGGCAGCCACCTGCTCACCCGAGCGTCCGGAGAGCATCCCCCTAAACTGGTGCTGACCAGCCTCAGAGGTGCTGAAGCTGCTCCATCTGTTTCCCAGCTATGAGCTCCTTTTCCTACCTGGGGTCTGGAAATAAAACTGCACCATGTGGATGAGCAGGGTGAACATTTCACAGGAAGCTACCTGTCCTAAGTATTCCTCACAAATGTACAGGAATCTTTATCTTCTACCTCCCTCAACATTTATTTGCATGGAGCCATTCGTTCACGAGGCTATCCTTCTCATCCCACAAAATCACTGTTCTAGCCCCTAGAAAATTTTACAATCCAACTTGAATAATAAGATTTTTTTCTACTTAGTAAATTCTGAGATTAACAACAGGAAATATTATTTCTAATTCTACCAATTTTCACCTGACAAGAGCTACATGAGTGTTATGTTTGCATTGTATCAGTAAAAATAATTTAAAAAGCAAATTGATAGCAAAAAAAACCCCAGAAATACAACAGTATTCATTTCAAAAATTGTTCAAAAACATTTTAGAAAAACCTGGTTACAATCAATTAAAATAATTACAGTCTAGGGAATAAAGCAATTTGATTTGTGTTATGAGTTCGAGTAATTGTGTGTACCTGATAATAAAACTATAATTCTTTAAAAATATCCTAGGGATTACATTAGAATCAGAGATACAAGAAAAGCATAATAAAAACACTATTTTCAAAAACACATGTGAACAAGTGCAAAATTCTATAAATTGCAATGTTAATCATATTTACAAAGGTTGAAGAAATGTAGCATAATGTAATTTAAATCAGGTGTTGTCAATTGTGGGAAATTTTATGGCGGTAATAGCAGCTTTTTCAATAATAATTTAGACTGGCTTTATTCATTCAACATTTATTCACTAAGACTGCTGCATAAGTGAGATATTTTACTGACTGCTGTAGCTACATTGCTAAAAAATATAGGCAAGGCCCCTGCACTCAAGGCAATTTCAAAAGTGGGGAAGACTGGCCTTAAATACACAATAGCCACAGAGTGTCGCAAAGACTGAAAGGAAAGGAAGACAACTTCAGGAGCACAGGGAGATTCTGCCCAAAGAGAAGTGACATCTAAGATGAGACTTAAAGGATGAGTTGAAGTTACACAGGTAAAGAGGGAAATGGAAGAGGGAACAGCTAAAGAGGAGATAAAGCTTTCAAACAACAGCAGCAAGGCATTCACTTTACTTACAGTGTGCAAGGTCCGGAATGCTAGGACAAGCAGAGGTGAGATCTAGAAAAACTTTAACATCCTTGTTAATTAAGGGGTTTGGATTTTATTTTTATGGTGGTGAGAAACTACTCGGATTTTAAGCAGGAATACGATATGATTTGATTTGTTTGTTTTAGAAAGAACATTCTAGACTGTGCACTTGAGAAGCTTCTTTGGTTCTTAGATAAAATTTTACTCTGGAAACACACAGATATGTGCACACATGCACGCGCACACCCATGCGTGCAACCACACAGGCTAACTACATTGTAATATGAAAGCACAGTGGAGGTGCTGATGAACCAGGAATTGCTGTAGTCCTCACAATTAGTTTAGAATTAATTTTAAAATTAGTTGCCGCTATTCCACCATGAATACAGAACTGACACAAACTGTAGGTCTCTTGATTTAACTATCTGGGACAGGAACTTAGATGTCACTCAGGCCATTGAAAATCAGAAGTGAGGATGAGGGGTTACTTTCACCTTTGATTATCCTGCACTGCTAGAGTTAGAATTCAAACAGAAGCCTGACTTCTAGCCCTACGGTAGAAAAATAACCAAAGTGGAGGAGGGAATGGGAAGGAGTCAAAGGCAACAGAAGAAAAATGAAGAGAATTATCAAGAAGTTGAACCTGCCTGTAAAGGAGATCAGGTGAGATCAGTTATCCTTAATTTCCAATCTGT